AATTTCAACAAGGGAAAATGTATGGTACTAAACGGGCAGTCCCCAAGTTACTAACAAGGTTTGTTCTTAAGTTGCAAAGAGAGTCCACCTAAACATTCGGAAGAATTTCCTGACAGTAAGAGTTGTTCAACAGTGGAATATCCTGCCTTGGAAACGTGATGCAATCTCCTCCAATGGTGGTTTCTAAGCTGACAGTGGATGGCTGTACTTTGACTGTGTGTTCCTGCATGGCAGGGGGTTAGACTGGATGACCCCTATGCTCTCTTCCAACTTTATGATACTATGACATTACATTTTAAGTTGGCAAATGAGTTGGTGAATGAAATCAAAATGTAAAAGAAACCCAGTTTTCCTTTTCTACAATGGCCAAACAGTACAGCACATGTATCCGTGGGACTATTATCCATGGGTTCATTTATCTGACACAATATGTATTCTCTAGTCGTTTTCTACACCCTGTAGCCTGACTCTATGGTATTCTTGGGGCAGAAGTATTATTATTTCACATATTTGTGACTCGCCCTTCTCACCCTAAAAGGGGACTCAGGACGGTACTTCATTTCAATAGGGTCTGCTGTTATCAAAGTTTCATGTATCTACACAAAGTCCAGGAACATATCCCCTCATGATATAGAGGCCATACTATAAGCAAAGTCATACTATATGACTCCCTAAAACTAAATGAGATTTCAAGACTAGGGCATTTAAATCTTCAATTGCCTTCAAATCTCTCTTCTCACAGACGAGATTACAAGACCAAGGTTTCCCTGTACAGACTGAAGAAAGGCTATATTCCAAAAAACGTTTAGAAAACATCAGAAATATGTTTTCCACAGTTTCAGCAGACCATAAACAGTAGCAAAAATATAGGTTAGTTGTCTTGTATAAACAATTATATAAATTCTGTGTTGCTATTTGGCACCCTCTAGTGTGTGGATGTTCTATGGGATGCCTAGTAAGAAAGAACTCTCCTACTGCTTGTTTAACACATTTTTAAAAGGTTAATAGAACAGGGGAGAGGGAAAATGCAATACCTAGAAAATCACAATGTCCAATATTATTGTACAAAATTTATTCTCTCTCAAAAGAAGCTCCAAGCAGCAAACAGCACTAAAACAATACACTGTACATAACCAAAACAACATTTTAAAAGTCAGAAAACACAATAACAAATATATTCACAAATAGGACAAAATTGGTGGTTAAAGGATATTATGCTAAAGGCAAAAAAAAAGCACAAAGCTCTTTCTGAAATAAGAGAAAAACTACCCTAACAGATACACCCAAACTATATTCAGTCACTTGAGGTGGGCAAATAGTAGATAAATCTTTTGTTTTCTCTCCACATCTAGCACTTTATTTCTTGCCAGACATAACCACAGAGAAAACCAGAATAGTGCAGTAACTGTTGACCATAAGCCTGGCATCATGATACAAGTCCTGTATAATAAATCCCACATAATCATAGACTCCATATCTATGCGAGAAAGGGAAATGATGTCTTAGGAATTTGCTACATCCTCCAGAAGGATTCTGATATACTCTCTTATGTAGTTACCACAGAGTTGCCTTGGCATACCTAGCATATGCCTAGAGGTGATACCTATCTAGTATTATTCAGGTCCTTCAATGAAACCCCGTCATATGCTGGGGCAGGGCATTGATATCCATCATTCTATGCAGATAAAATCTACCCAGGAAATATCCCCATGGATACAGGGGTCTTAGTGTGTGTTTTGTTTTTCCACCTTTAAAAAATTATGGATAAGTATTTGAGCACAGTTGTTGTTGTTGTTCATTCGTTCAGTCGTCTCCGACTCTTCGTGACCTCATGGACCAGCCCACGCCAGAGCTCCCTGTCGGCCGTTACCACCCCCAGCTCCCTCAAGGTCAGTCCAGTCACTTCAAGGATGCCATCCATCCATCTTGCCCTTGGTCGGCCCCTCTTCCTTTTGCCTTCCACTTTCCCCAGCATAATTGTCTTCTCTAGGCTTTCCTGTCTCCTCATGATGTGACCAAAGTACTTCAACTTTGTCTCTAGTATCTTTCCCTCCAGTGAGCAGTCGGGCTTTATTTTCTGGAGGATGGACTGGTTGGATCTTCTCGCAGTCCAAGGCACTCTCAGAACTTTCACAGTACAACCCCAATATTCGCTGGGAAATACATTCTTGGATTTTGCATGGATACATAAAACTGTGAGAAACAGTGAACCCTAAATCAGGAAAGAGAGCAATGGACAGAGGGAGGGAGGTCCTCCTGCCTGGTTATCTCTCTCCCTCACTCACTCCTTCCCTCTGGTGGGGCTTGGGGAACCCCCAGAGCATCCCTCTCCATCCTCTCTAATTACTGGAGGAGAGCAAGCTTCTGACTCGCTGCTGTCACCCCACTACTTTCAACTCCAATTCATACTTCTTGGTATGGTGTCTTGCAGTGGGTGGCCTGGCTGCAAGAAGCCATGTTTGGTGGTAGGTGCCATACTCATCATGTAGGAAGGGAAGCCAAGTCAGCAGTTCAATCATTGCTCCCAAAGTGACTGGATGAAATGAGAGAAGGGACCAAATGGCCAGCCATCCTGCCATCCTTCTCTCCCCTATCCTGACAGAGCCTCTCTTGGTCAAATGAAGTTTTCCTCTGCTGAGAAGCATTACACAGATAGTGGCAGGGATGGTGGTTGGCTGCTGCACAAAGTGGGGTACAGGGACAGTGAGGGGGTCAGGCCCCTGTCCTCCTTGTCCACAATGGAGAAGTGCATAGGAGATTGCCAAGCGATGCCAGGAGATGAAGGAAGGCCTGGACCAAAGGAGTCGCTTCTCCCTATCCCTCCCCCAATGCCCCATCCAAGGAAAAGAAAGAGTTGAAGTCCAAATCACCCAGAGGGCCAAAGTTTGCCTGTGCCTGGGTTGGGTCTAGGTAAGGGTAAAGGTTTTTCTCTGACATTAAGTCCAGTCGTGTCTGACTCTGGGGGTTGGTGCTAATCTCCATTTCTAAGCCGAAGAGCTAGCGTTGTTCGTAGACACCTCCAAGATCATGGGGCCGGCATGACTGCATGGAGCGCCGTTACCTTCCCACCGGAGCAGTACTTATTGATCTACTCATATTTGCATGTTTTCTAATTGCGAGGTTGGCAGAAGCTGGGGCTAACAGCAGGAGCTTACACCGCTCCATGGATTCGAACCTGTAACCTTTCGATCAGCAAGTTCAGCAACGCAGTTTAACTCACTACGCCACCAGGGAATGAGACTTATATCCCAGGATCTGATCCCAAATTACCTGCTTCGAACGGGATTATATGAGTCTACACTGCCTGAAACCCATGAGATCTACACGGTCATATAAGGCAGTTTGAAACGACTGGATCTACACTGCCATACACTGTGTTTTGAACTGCATTGTGTGGTCAGTATATAGAACAAAAATGCAGTGGGTCTCAACCTGTGGGTGCCCAGGTGTTTTGGCCTACAACTCCCAGAAATCCCAGCTGGTTTACCAACTGTTAGGATTTCTGGAAGTTGAAGGCCAAAACATCTGGGGACCCACAGGTTGAGAACCACTGGTGTAGAACATCTCAGTATGTTGGACACTGGAAATCCATTTTGGTGCTATTGACTGTGGTATATCATTTTTAACATATCATCATCATTATACACTTTGAATTGTACTTTATTGAGATTTTATCATTATGTAACTGTTTTAAAGTATTTGTTTGGTTAGTTATTATAAGTTCACGTTGATGTTTATTTTATGTATTATTTGCTGATGCATTTGGTTCATTTGTTATTGACAAATAGCATCTCCCACTACAGACAACTCGGACACTGCAGTCATCGGAGGAGGCCGTGCTCTCAGTCCCACCCCCATCCCAAGTGCGGCTGGTGGGAACGAGAGAAAGGTCCTTTTCTGGGGCCGCCCCCCACCTCTGGAACTCCCTTTCTTAGGATTTAACAATGGCCCCCTCCCTGCCTGCCTTCTAGAAACAACTGAAAACATACCTTTGCTCACTAGCTTACAAGGAGGAGGAATAGATGGTAATACTATCATTTTACCCAATTAATAAATGCCATCCATATTGTGCCATTCACCCCAACAGCTCAATAGACATCTTGAACAATTATCAATTTTATTGGCCCCTAAAGAACTGTGAAATTGATGCTTCTGTTTGATGTTTTGTTTCATGTCTGATATAATAGGTTGCACTTTTCATTTAATTTTAGTTGTTAAGTTAGACTTTCTTTTATATGTTAGTGTTGGGTTTCATCCCTGGACTGCACAAGTCTCTGGTGTTATCAATTTTCCAGACCTCAAGGAGTAGCTAGAGATAGAATTAGGCTGAGGGATTCCTCCAGCTGTTAGGAATTCTGCAGTTAAAGTCCAAAACACCCAGAGGGCCAAAGTTGGCCTATGCCCTCTACAAATGCTCCAAATAAATAAACATTCCTTCTTTTGAGGCTGAGAAACTGTGATTTGCACCTGAGCACCTCTTAGTATTGGGCCCTACCATTTGAACAGAGGGGTTAAACTCTACTGTATAAAAACCTGACCCTTACTCACCTTTCCACTAAAGTTTTGCTCATCTCAGAGGAGGGTTTATTGAATTGAGGTGCTCCCTGTGACCTCAGTATCCCTTCCCCCTCCTCCTTGTCCTCCTAAACCTCCCCAACTTCTGTGAGAACTGTGTAGCGTCAGATACTAAAGGTTGAGTATCCCTTATCCTCAATTCCAAAATATAAAGAGAGGAAGCATTGCAGGCATGGGCCAACTTCGGCCCTCCGGGTGTTTTGGACTTCAACTCCCATAATTCCTAACAGCAGGGGTTGAAGTCCAAAAAACCCGAGAGGGCCAAAGTTGGCCCATGCCATCTACAAATGCTCCAAATAAACAAACAGCCATTCTTTTGAGGCTGAGAGTGTAGTTTGCACCTCAGCACCTCTTAGTATTGGGCCCTACCATTTGAACAGAGGAGGGGTTAAACTCTACTGTATAAAAACTTGACCATGGCTCACCTTTCCACTAGTTTTGCTCATCTCAGAAGAGGGTTTATTCAATTGAGGAGCTCCCTGTGGCCTCAGTATCTCCAAAGGCCATCTAGTCCAACCTTGGAAGATTGATAGATGGGTAGACAGATGAATCACAGTTGAAGAGGATGCCCAAAGGACATCCAGTCTAAGATTGGTGGATGGATGGACGATCCAATCACAGAGTTGGAAGGGATTCCCAGAGGCCATCTTGTTCAACCACTGAAGACAAATGGTGATTGTTCAGTTCAATCACTAAAGATACGAGGATTGAATAAAAAGTTATGCCTCCACCTTCGTAACTCCTCAACAGATGGCAGTACTGGTATGCGGCAGGTACTGGCTTATTCACTAGACTCTCCTCTACAATTCCATTTTGGCAGGAAGCCTTAGCATTGAACGGTTGTGTTGTTAAAGTGCAAAATATGGAACCCTGCACAGACGGTCAGTCAATGTGACTTAAGCAACGTACAGTCATTGAATTCTTGACAGCAGAAGATGTCACCTCAACATCTTTAAACTTACTCGCCCAACAACACACAGTAATCATATCAACACAATCACCATAAGCAGCTTGCATTCTCTGATGAATCTCCTTTGGGGTGACACCTTCTGCTGTAATTTGTGTAAAAACTCTCTTTTCTCCATAATTGGGTGTTCTGTAGTTTCTGGGCTGTATGGTCATGATCTACGAGGGTTGAATGAAAAGTAATGCCTCCACCTTCGTTATTTGGGTTTGGCTGGGAATATTTTAATAAATCAAACGCAGAAATAATCCTTAGAATGTGCTCTTTAACTACCACTATTCATTTTTCCACATAATCGCCAGAAACTTGGATACATTTCTGCCAACGATGAACAAGTTTTCTGAAGTCGTCATGGAAGAAGTTGACACTGTTTCTGCAATGCATTGTGTACAGATCTTCCAATAGCCAAGCAAAACAATAATGTGACCACAAGTTCTTGTGAAATGCCGATTATGCTTGAAATTTCTCTCTGAGCGATATGACGATAGTCCTGAATCAATCTGTCAACCGTTTGCTTGTGAAACTCGGGGGTTGCTGTCACAGAACGTCCAACTCTTTGTTTGTCACACAAGTCAAACACCTCAACATCTTTAAACTTACTCGCCCAATGACACACAGTATTTATTTATTTATTTGGTAGTTTTGTATATTGGTCTTCTCACCTCCATTCGAGGGACTCGGGCCGGTTTCCAACATCAATATTACAGACTGTCATTAAAACATCGTATTTCTAAATCACACTAAAACATTAAAACACTGAAACAATTAAAATAGCAAAAATACAATCATATGATTACAGTGGTCAGTCGTCATCAAAGTCATTATTCGTCGTCATCCATCCATATCACAGGATCATGGCTCATTCGTTGAATGCCAATCCCCAAAGCCAGGTTTTCACCTGTTTCCTGAACATTAAGATCGAAGGGGCAGTTCTGATCTCCAGTAGAAGGGAGTTCCAGAGTCGAGGGGCCACCACCAAGAAGGTCCTGTCTCTCGTCCCCACCAGCCACACCTGTGAGGCCGGTGGGATCGAGAGCTGGGCCCCTCCAGACGATCTTAGTAATCTTGATGGCTCATAGGGGAGGATACATTCGGACAGGTAAATTGGGCTGGAGTCGTTTAGGGCTTTATAGATTAAGACCAGCACTTTGAATTGTGCTTGGAAGCTGACTGGCAGCCAGTGGAGCTGGCACAACAGAGGAGTAGTATGCTCCCTGTACCTCGCTCCCGTTAGTTTCCTGGCTGCCGCACATTGGACTAACTGAAGCTTCCAGGCAGTCTTCAGAGGCAACCCCACGTAGAGAGCATTGCAGTAATCTAAACGGGATGTAACCAAAGCGTGGACCACCGTGGCCAAGTCAGACTTCCCAAGGTACTCACATCAACACAATCACCACAAACAGTTTGCATTCTCTGATGAATCTCCTGTGGGGTGACACCTTCTGCTGTCAAGAATTCAATGACTGCACACTGCTTAAGTCGCATTGACCGACCATCTGTGCAGGTTTCCATATTTCGCACTTTAACAACACAACTTTAACAACATGTAATATTACTAATAATATTACAATATAATGGTATAGTGCAATATAGTAATATATACTGATATTGTACTATTGTAATAATATAATATATTGTATGAAAATATATATTGTAAGTCCCCTTCGGGGTGAGAAGGGCAGCATATAAATGCCGTAAATAAATAAATAAACCGTACAATGCTGTACAGGAGAGTCTACTGAACAAGCCAGTACCTGCCACATACCAGTACTGCCATGTGTTGAGGAGTTAGGAAGGTGGAGGCATTACTTTTCATTCAACCCTCCTAGATGCTCCCTGTGACCTCTGCATCCCCCTTTCCCCTCCTCCTCCTCACACCCCTCCCCCGCACCCCCGTGAGATGCTGTAAACATGGTACGCCCCGCCCTGCCCTCTGTGAGGTGGAGAGGCCTAGTGGCGACGCGCAAGCCAAAGATGGCGGCGGGAGGCTGAGGGCGCGCGCGCGCCCGCCCATGTCTCCCCCGCGGCGCATGCGCTGAGCTTTCCTCCGGCGCGTGGCGTGGCTCTCGCTCCTGCCACTACTCCTGCTGCCGCCGCCCTCTTTTCTCCCCTTCCTCATCCCAATGAAGAGCCGCCATGGTGCTGGGGGCCCGGGCTCTGCGGGCCGCGGCGTTGCTACACTTCCTCTGCTTGCTGTGGGCGACTTTCGCCCTGAGCCAGAACATAGGGCTGCCCAAGTCGGTCCGCAAGGCGCAGGACACCACCTACGGCGGACACTGGAAGCACCTGACCTTCCTCAACCAGGTGCCGGCGGTGAATGAGGCGCGCCTGCGCAGGCGGCATCCTTGCACGTGCAGGGGGGCGGGGCCTGCTGAAAAGGGGGAGCCAATAAGGAGAGGGATAGGGAGGGAGGAGGAGGGGCTTCTCCAAAAGTAAATATTGAGAGGGGTGTATTGTCGAAGGCTTTCATGGCTGGAATCACTAGGTTCTTGTAGGTTTTTTCGGGCTATAGGGCCATGTTCTAGAGGCATTTCTCCTGACGTTTCGCCTGCATCTATGGCAAGCATCCTCAGAGGTAGTGAGGTCTGTTGGAAATAGGAAAATGGGTTTATATATCTGTGGAATGACTGGGGTGGGACAAAGAGCTCTCTGCTGAAGCTAGGTGTGAATGTTTCAGCTGACCACCTTCATTAGCATTTGAAGGCCTGGCTGAGCCTGGGAAAATGTTCTGTTGAGAGGTGTTAAGATGTGCCTGGTTGTTTCCTCTCTGCTGTTTTGCAGGCACATCTTAACACCAGGCACATCTTCACACCTCTCAACAGATTTTCCCAGGCTCAGCCAGGCCTTCAAATGCTAATGAAGGTGATCAGTTGAAACATTCACGCCTAGCTCCAGCAGGGAAGAGCTCCTTGCCCCACCCCAGCCATTCCACAGATATATAAACCCATTGTCCTAATTCCAACAGACCTCACTACCTCTGAGGATGCTTGCCATAGATGCAGGCGAAACGTCAGGAGAAATGCCTCTAGAACATGGCCATATAGCCCAAAAAACCCACAAGAACTGAGTGATTCCGGCCATGAAAGCCTTCGACAATACATTCTTGTAGGTTTTTTCGGGCTGTAGGGCCATGTTCTAGAGGCATTTCTCCTGACGTTTCGCCTGCATCTATGGCAAGCATCCTCAGAGGTAGTGAGGTCTGTTGGAACTAGGAAAAAGGGTTTATATATCTGTGGAATGACGAGGTGGGGCAAAGGACTCTTCTCTGCTGGAGCTAGGTGTGAATGTTTCAGCTGACCACCTTCATTAGCATTTGAAGGCTTGGCTGAGCCTGGGAAAATGTTCTGTTGAGAGGTGTTAAGATGTGCCTTCAACCAGAGAAGTCAGCCACAGCAGAGCACCTGATGAACCAGATGAATCTGTGAACCTCACCTCCTCCAAGATGAACTGAACCACCTCAACTGGGCTCTACAGGCCAATGGAGTCTCCACCTCAGACATCAGAAGAGCTGCAAGACCAAGAACAAGCCACAAGAGTAAAGATGAAGATCCACCCAGAGGAAAAGTGTTCCTGCCATACATCAAGGGAACCACCAAACGCAGCATTGCCCAAACACGAATCAAGGAACATGAAAGGCATTGCAGACTACTTCAACCAGAGAAGTCAGCCATAGCAGAGCACCTGATGAACCAGCCTGGACACAGCATATTATTTGAGAACACAGAAATGCTGGACCACACCAACAACCACCATGTCAGACTACACAGAGAAGCCATTGAAATCCACAAGCATGTGGACAATTTCAACAGAAAGGAGGAGACCATGAAAATGAACAAAATCTGGCTACCAGTATTAAAAAACTATAAAATTACTACAGCTAAACAGCAGAGAGGAAACAACCAGGCACATCTTAACACCTCTCAACAGGGTATTTTCCCAGGCTCAGCCAAGCCTTCAAATGCTTTCAACCACTCTTGTATACTTGAGACAAGTGTGAATGTTGCTATTTGGCCAGCTTGTTTGGCACTGAATAGCCTTGCAGCTTCAAAGCCTGGCTGCTTCCTGCCACAGCAACCCAATGATTCCAGCCATGAAATCCTTCAACCACTCTTGTATGCTTGAGACAAGTGTGAATGTTGCTATTTGGCCAGTTTGGTTAGCACTAAATAGCCTTGCATCTTTAAAGCCTGGCTGCTTCCTGCCACAGCAACCCAGTGATTCCAGCCATGAAATCCTTCAAATATTCCTGTATCCTTGAGACAAGTGTGAATGTTGCAATTTGGCCAGCTTGATTAGCACTGAATAGCCTTGCAGCTTCAAAGCCTGGCTGCTTCCTGCCTGTGGGAATCCTTTGTTGGAGGGTGTTACCTGGCCCTGATTGTTTCCTGTCTGCAAAAGCTCAGGAGAAAATGTTTCTGGAACATGGCCATACAGCCCAGAAAACTCAGTGATTCCAGCCATGAAATCCTTCAACCATTCTTGTCTGCTTGAGGCAAGTGTGAATGTTGCAATTTGGCCAGCATGATTAACATTGAATAACCTTGCAGCTGCAAAGCCTGGCTGCTTCCTGCCATGTGCTGTAATTCAATTTCTTTGTCATTTAATAGGTCCTGCAGAACATATTGTATATACTGTGTACCACAATTGATACTGTAGCTCTGTGCATCCCTTCGGAAGAGAAGACTGTGTCACGCGCCTTGGTGCCTATCAGGGATTTCATCTTCTCAGCATTTGTATTCCCCATTGGCTTGGTAAGCTTTAGATTCTTTATTAGCACTTTATACTTCTGAGATCGAATACTGTTGTTTTATCTACAACTATTTCTGTATGTTATTGTTTTTACCAGGGAGTACCGTGAATTTGGTGATGTTGTGTTGATTGTTTATTGTCTACTCGTATGTTTTGATTTGCACTTGTTGTATTTTGCATGTCACATCTTGAGTGTTTTGTGAGCTACCCCAAGTCCCTCTATTTATTATTATTATTATTATTATTATTATTATTATTATTATTTGAAACACAACATAGAATCATAGAATCAAAGAGTTGGAAGAGACCGCATGGGCCATCCAGTCCAACCCCCTGCCAAGAAGCAGGAATATTGCATTCAAATCACCCCTGACAGATGGCCATCCAGCCTCTGTTTAAAAGCTTCCAAAGAAGGAGCCTCCACCACACTCCGGGGCAGAGAGTTCCATTGCTGAACGGCTCTCACAGTCAGGAAGTTCTTCCTCATGTTCAGATGGAATCTCCTCTCTTGTAGTTTGAAGCCATTGTTCCGCGTCCTAGTCTCCAGGGAAGCAGAAAACAAACTTTCTCCCTCCTCCCTGTGGCTTCCTCTCACATATTTATACATGGCTATCATATCCCCTCTCAGCCTTCTCTTCTTCAGGCTAAACATGCCCAGCTCCTTAAGCCGCTCCTCATCGGGCTTGTTCTCCAGACCTTTTATCATTTTAGTCGCTCTCCTCTGGACACATTCCAGCTTGTCAATATCTCTCTTGAATTGTGGTGCCCAGAACTGGACACAATATTCCAGATGTGGTCTAACCAAAACAGAATAGAGGGGTTAGCATTACTTCCCTAGATCTAGACACTATGCTCCTATTGATGCAGGCCAAAATCCCATTGGCTTTTTTTGCCGCCACATCACATTGTTGGCTCATGTTTAACTTGTTGTCCACGAGGACTCCAAGATCTTTTTCACACGTACTGCTCTCTAGCCAGGCATCCCCCATTCTGTATCTTTGCATTTCGTTTTTCCTGCCGAAGTGGAGGATCTTGCATTTGTCACTGTTGAACAACAAGATGAGTCCACAGCAGACACTCTGCTGGCTGTTGTATTAGATCACACTTTGGACACTTCCCAACTGTCTAGGACTGTGTGATGTATCGGCGAATAATGTGTGCAGATCCCAGTAGGATGGCCTTTTCAGCTGGCAGATGGTAATTTTGTCAATGCCAATTGTGTTTAAGTGCAGGCCAGGGTCTTTAGGCACTACACCCAGTGTGCCGATCACCACTGTGACCACCTTGACTGGCTTTTGCCAAGGTCTTTGCAGTTCGATCTTTAAATCCTCGTATCGTGTCAGCTTTTCCAGTTGTTTTTCTTCAATCCTGCTGTCACCTGGGATGGCAACATCGACAATCCATACTTTATTTTTAACACGATTGTGAGGTCAGGAGTATTGTGCTCCAAAACTCTGTCTGAATTCAGAAGTCCCAGAGTAGCTTGACGTGTTCATTCTCTGTAACTTTTTCCGGCTTGTGATCCCACCAGTTTTGTCGCAGGCAGATGGTATTTGTGGCACAAGTTCCAATGAATTATCTGAGCAATGGTGTTGTAGTCTGTCTGCACGATTATTATTATTATTATTATTATTATTATTGAGTAATCATTTTAATTGTAGCTGTTAGCAAGTAGATGGGTTTTGAAGTCTATGTTAATATCATGGACAAAGGTTATCAAACAGCTATACCGTTTATTATCCAGGGTCCATGTGTATCCACGGTCCATGTGTATTTAGTAGCATTGTTTATTTTCCCCCCAGTGCCCTGCCAATAAGACTAGGAAAAGTCACGAAGGCTGAGAGCAGATTGTGCGACTGATTTTTCCTGCTTCCACATTTCTCATAGTTGTATGGGGGAGAAGTTTGTGTTTGTTCACTTTGAAATCTGAAAATTTATCCCTTTTTTTGTGCATAATCCATCATGTACTTATAAGTGTAGACTAGAGGTTCTTGATCATGAATAGGTTTTCGGGAGTCAAAATAATAATTTCTCTTTCTGTGATTTTCTTCTTTAATTTTGTTTCAAACTAAAACAGTATTTTCAAATGTTGTGAATATTTCGTATAATCTCCATGAGAGAAATCAGAGTGCAAAGCAATAAATAAAATTACTTGCTGTGATGCATGCAAATTGTAGCTATCCACTGTTTCCTGCAGAAGGGATCTGTAGCTTTCATCAGATTGTCAAAGGGTTTTGTGATCTCAAAATGATTAGGGGTCACTGATAGAGATATAATTCAAGAATGTCTGCTTTTGAGGTATGAGTATATGCACTTTATGCTACCTGGACTGTTCCCAATTCTACCATACCAGCTTCATGGTTAGATTTGGACCAAATCACCATCATATCAGTATTTTTACACTTGCCAAATACTGTGTGTTCCTATGATGATGGTTTATAGGCTGCAGTGAAAAGTAGTTTTCTCTCTTATGGGTGGGACTCAATGTTTTACCATTAGGTCTGTTTTCTCTGGGTCTCCAGGGGTAAAAGAATCTCGCATATGTTCCATTGTGCATCCAGAACACTGTTTTTATTATCCACTATGATCCTCTCCAACAATATTGTCATGACAACAAATGCTTTTGGTTCATACTAATAAAGAGCCTTTTATCATGCCAAGGAAATGCTACGATGTTTTCAAAGATAACATAGAACCCCCATTTTAATATGTGTTTTATAGATCTCATTATGAAATATCACCCTGCATCATTCCCGCCACTAGAGGAAGCTATGTCCACTCGAGAAAAGCCCAGTATGCTAATATATCTATTAACATCTACTTATGCATTGATGAGTGTTGTCTAGAAAATTATATACTACATTACAGAATCCCACTTGAGAGAAAACTAAAGGGTGTTAACATCATTTATATTAGATATGGGCAAACTTTTTTTGCCTTGGGGCCGCATTGCAGGCTGGGCCAGGAGAGGGCAGGGAAGGGCCTGGGTCATCCTCAGGTTGTCCTCCTGGCATAAGGACGGGGCTGCTCACCCCCGTTTTTATGCTGGGAGAAAGGCAAGACGAGCAGTGAATGTGCCCCAATCCCCCAATTCTTGATCCTCCTTCCCAATCCTTGGGCTGTCCTCTTGGCATTATGCCTGAAGGAGGGTGAGACAGTGCAGTGGCTGAGTGTGCTCCAGAGAGCCGTCACCAGAGTGTATCTTCTCGAGCCACCCTCCTGGCATAAGGATGGGGCCACTTGCACCATCCTTGTGCCAGGAGGAAGGCAAGATACGCAATGGCTGAGAGCACTCCAGAGGACTCTCAGCTGCTGCACGCCTTCCTGCCTCGAATGCAGCGGGCTACCGTGTCTTATGCGAAGAGGACAGGGAAAAAGAGGAGGAGGGCCTGAGGTAAGTACCCAGGGGGCTGCATCCAGCCCCCAGACCTTAGTTTGCACATGCCTGATTTATATGGTGGAACATCTTAATTGCATGATTGCTGTTAACTATCATTGTTATGTAAACAGAAGCAACAAGAAATTCTCAGTCAACTTGAAATTCTTATGGTGAGGGAGCTGGTGTTTTGTTTTGTTGTTGTTATATCATTTTCCAATACACTATTGACAGTTTCTCTTGCTTGATAAAAAGCAACTTCTGAGATTACATTATAACTGTAATACTGTATACTCCCAATGGTTTATAACAGAGGTCCTCAAACATTTTAAGTGGGGGGGGGGGGGGGGCGGGTTCATGGTTCCTCAGACTTTTGAGGGTGACCTGTAGTTTGGGGGGAAAAAATGAACTAATTCCTATACACACTGCACATATCTGTAATGCAAAAAAACAAAAGCAAAAACACAAAAGAAATGAAGACAAAACAATATTTTAAATGAAGAACAATTTTCACCAACATAAACTTCTCTATCTTTCAATGGGAAGTGTGGGCCTACTTTTGGATGATGAAATAGTCAAGTTAATTAGGATTGTTGTTGTGTACCGTCAAGTAATTTCTTAGGGCAAACTTAAGTCTAAAGTTTAGGGATGGGAACAGGCAAATGACCTTGGAGGGCCGCATCCGGCCCACGGGCCTTAGTTTGAGGACCCGTGGTTTATAATATGCCATGAAGCATATGAATTAGAGAAATCCTGTAGTTGGAGCATTGGCCTATCAGAGACACTGGGTTAATGTGATGTTATATGGTGTTATGTGATCCTAACACTATATAACATGAAATTAAGTGTTTTTATTAATCTATCTGAAGATTAAATGAAAAGAATAATATACTATATCCATAATGCAAAATGGTCTGTTTGTGAAGAGGGAAGTGGAAGAGCAATGCAAATATTTTGATGTTAAAACTTTTAGATACCCATAATTACCATTTGTATCATATATTAATTATTCATGTTTGAATGTTTTTCTCTCAGTTTGTAGCTGTTGCTTTCTGGGGCCTTTATGCATATGACAGAGAACTAGTGTACCCTAAAGAGCTTGATGACATTAATCCAAGTTGGCTTAATCACTCTATGGTAAGTGAATGGTAAGTGGTACATTGACATAATAATTCTAAGCAAAGTAAATACTTAAGAACATGGAGTGTTTTCATTATTACTCTGATTAAAAGGTAACTGTTCTGGAGGCATGATCTGTGAACCTAATCATATGTCACATTAAACCAAGTTTGGGGAATATGTGAGCATCGTTTGTCCCCTATTTTTGTTGTTCACATCTTCTGTACCCAGAATTTGTGACTGTACTATTGGAATTTTTCTCTCATGTCAGCAAATGCTTGTTTTTCACAGCACAAACAAAAAGAGAACTGCACTTTGACTTCAAAAGAAAAGGAGTGGAGAGCATGTTTTTATTTTAAAGGGATACAGTGCCCCCTCCCCACTCCAATATCATAGTACCATCAAAACAAGTTGTTGCTTCTGGAAAGCCAAGCAGGGCAGGCAGTATTTTCTCCCTCACTCCCTTTTTTTTTTCCATGCCAGAAATGACTTGAGAAACCGCAAGTCGCTTCTGGGATGAGATAATTGGGCATCTGCAAGGACTTTGCCCAGGGGACGCCCGGATGTTTGATGTTTTACCATCCTGTGGGAGGCTTCTGTCATGTCCCCATATTGGAAGCTAGAGCTGAGATGGGAGCTCACCCAACTCCCCGGATTCAAACTGCCAACCTGTTGGTCAGTAGTCCTCCCGGCACAAGGGTTTAACCCATTGCATTACCTGGGGCTCCCACACTGGCTCTTGTCCCCTCATGGCCTTTATTTTCAAAATAGGACAGACATACCCTTCCTACCTCTCTGTCCTATTTTGAACACGAATGCCAAAGAGTTCTGCAGACTGCAACTGTATCTGTATGCAGTCCATGTCAACTTCTTCTGCAAAGCCAGCAAAACTTGGATGTAGGAATGCATCATAAATATCTAAAATGATGTTTAAAAGTTGTGTTTTATGAATTTCTAAGGCTTTTATATCACACACCAACTTTATATTTCTCATTGCACAATACATTCATGTATGCACTGTATTTCCAGCATAAATTTCTAACCACAGATACAGAAGCTCCATTTGCGGGAGAAAGAAAGAAACTGACAAAAAATTCTCTTTTTGGCAAAACCATATTTCCGTTGTGATAAACACAGCACAAAGAATCAGTATATAATATTATAGCACTGCTGAAATCAATGTAACTATCAATACTATTGTTTAAATATTCACCTCATGTCCTTGTGTGTGGTTTTGATTTTTAGCATACTACAATTCTGCCACTGCTATTCATAGAGCTGTATATATGTCCTCACAAGTATCCCAGTAGGATTAAAGGAATTTTTGGACTTGCCTTCTTTGCAGTTACATACCTCGTCTGGTAGGTATTTACTTTTTGCCTTTACAGTACAATCTTTCTTACTCATTGTTGCTCAGACAATTAACTTGACACATTTGTTTTAAGAATCTGAGGAAGCATTCATTTGGATATCATCACACAGATACATCTCTGCAGTGGCTTCCTCCAAATGATTTACTATAATTCATCCAGGGGCCCTTCCACACAGCCTTATATCCCAGAATATCAAGGCAGAAAATCCCACAATATCTGCTTTGAACTGGGTTATCTGAGTCCACAGTCAGATAATGTGGGATTTTCTGCCTTGATATTCCGGGATATAAGGATGTGTGGAAGGGCTCTAAGGCACTTGTGTTGTTGTTGTGGCCTTCAAGTCATTTCTAACTTACAGCAAAGAGGCTTTATTGGCAAGATTTGTTCAGAAAGGGTTTGCCTTTGCTTTCATCTGAGGCTGAGACAATTTGACTTTTTAATTTTAATTTTAATTTTTGTATGTATGTATTTTATCTTTTGTAATTTAGCTGTAAATCGCCTGGAGCATTCTCAGATGGAGGGCGATTAATAAGTTATTAAATGATGATGATGATGATGATGATGATGATGATGATGACTTGTCTAGATTCACCTAATGGCTTTTCATGACTGAATGGGAATTCAAGCTGTGGTCACTGGCATGGTTATTCCTTTCTTAAGCCATTACAAAATGCTGGCTTTCCAAATAACAAGTTAGAAAATTTTACAAATGTTATCTAGACAATGGATATTAGTCAAATATCATTAATTCAATTATTATAAGCACAGATTTATGATCCAATTAAAATGTAAGAATTTTTACTCCCAAATGTTTTAACTGTGAAAGTTAAATGATCGTGTATATTCTATTTAAATTAGTGTCAAGCATTGTGGAACCAGTGTCTTTAATGAAATCCAAATTTAGATAATGTTTATCGTTTTGTATGTGTAATGAATAATAATAATGTAATAATTATTATAATTTTGTATTTGTTTCCTATCTCTCCTTTCAGAGAGTTGTATTTGCTTGTGACTTCAGAAATAAGGGCATGCAATCAGCTAACAATTATTACAATTTTATGGCTCTTTGCATCTCATTGTTGGTGTAAAATTAGAATTAAAGATTCAACAGTATATGGATCTGTTTTAGTGAGCCTGATAAGCTCCATCTCCTCAATAGAAAACATTTCTCTGTGCCCTATATTGTTTCCTGAGCTCTGTTATTTGTGTTATGCTAGAAATGCTATAACCACAATATTATATGCCCAGGTCCAACAACTAAAAGTTATGGCTGCATCCAGTTCCAAATTCTGAGAACTTCCTCTTAAACAACAAATAAGCCCTGGGCTCATTCTTTGCTGGTCTCATAGACCTCCGATAAGGATTACCATGAATGCATTAGATCTTGTTCACACGCACTTTATCTTTTTCTTCATAACTATGAAATTCTACAAAATATTGATGCTTGCAATAAACCTTATCTATCTCAACCAGTGCTGTGAATAGGTTGGATTGAAAACAGTGCTGGACTTGATAGTTCCTTTGGCCAAAATTACTGTTTCTTATCTTATTTGTTTTCCTATTCTGTTTTAGGGCTCATTCCAGCTCCCTGCTTCACTTGAAAGATATTTCAGTGTGAATATTTCAGTCCTACCCAAGACCATAATATTTATCTTTCTCTCTTTTTTTAAAGGATATTGTGGGTTCACTATAAATCTGGGATTTGGGCGTATCCAGTTCTAGGAGTTCTCAGTCCAGGTGGGATGGTAATATTTTTCTTTGTCACTTTCATTATCATGGTAACCTTCTACTTCCTTGGGGAACAACTAACAAACTGGCTGTGGGGTAAGTAAAGTAGTGTGATTTTTTTCCTTGCCTTTTTGATGTTATTGTTTTTGATAGTGCTTTAGCGAAACCTAAGGACCACATTTTCAATATTCAGTATGTTAGTAAGCAGAGAAAAAATGTGTTTACTCAGGAAACAGCTTTTTAAAAGTAATGGTGACTAATATGTGTTTAATATATTGTCAAAGGCTTTCATGACCGGAATCACTGGGTTGTTGTGAGTTTCCGACGTTTCACTTGCACCTATGGCAGGCATCCTCAGAAGTTGTGAGGTGTCACAACCTCCGAGGATGCCTGCCATAGGTGCAAGTGAAATGTCAGGATAGAATGCTTCTGGAACATGACCATACAGCCCGGAAAACACACAACAACTCACTGATATATGTTTCCTCTCGAGTGGCTCCACAAACACTGCAGAAATTCCCAGACATTCTATCAAGCCCTACTCTTTACTAAAAGGTTTGATTTTGACATGGCATTGGACTAGCCATGCCACTTCTCTTAAAATAATTGTCAAACAATCTTCTCTGCCCCAGTGCAAAATTCTTTTTTTCTGCAATCATACTAAATACCTTATGCTTAAGCACCATCTCACCAGATGGCTGTCTGTGAAGAGAGGACCTCATCATGAATAGCTGAGCAATAGGGCATACAAAGCCAGCTGAGAGCAAAAGGAAAGCATAGAAGACCACCAATGAGATTCATAGCGTATGCATAGATGCTGCATGCAGGACCTGCATTTATCTTTAGATTTTGCTAATAATTATATGATAATAAAAATTATTATTCTTATTATAACAACAACAACAACAACAACAACAACAACAACAATAATAACAATAATAATACATCACATAGTCCTAGACACTTGGGAAGTGTTCGATTTGTGATTTTGGGATATGAAATCCAGCATATAGATCTCGTTTGCTGTGACATACTGTGCTTTTGTGTCAATAATAATAATAATAATAATAATAATAATAATAATAATAATAATAATAATGTGTTGCGCTGTGCATAATGGCAAAATATTCTGAAACTTTTTTTAAATTTTTTCCCTAGCAAGATGTAAGAAGAAGTATGCATAGAGAGGAACCTGGAAAAAGTATAAGACCATTAAAAGTTGAAACTGGCTTATGGAAGAGAGTGCAACTTTAATCAAGATAAACATGTCAACCATAGCTGGTTCATAAGTATTCAGAAAATAGCATTTTCCTCAATATGATATGTGATAGTAAAAACACAAAAACAGAAAGAAAAAAACAGAAGAAAATCAGAATAATTGCGCTTCTATCAAGTTTTCTGCTTTTATATATAGAAACTCAGGATATATATGAACAGATTGTGTGCACATAGGGCTTTTCGCTCACATGACAATAGAATGCCCAGTTTATTGGGATAAGATACACTCAAATATAAATTAGAATATAAGGATTTCACATATATTTATGCACCTGTCACTTTAAAAAAAGATTATTTAAATTCGTAAGGCGATACACATTTGGGGAAAAAGTGCAATGTCTTTCCTCCCAGCAGGAATGTACCACTAGGACAGTGGTTCTCAACCTGGGGTCCCCAGATGTTTTTGGCCTTCAACTCCCAGAAATCCTAACAGCTGGTAAACTGGCTGGGATTTCTGGGAGTTGTAGGCCAAAAACATCTGGGGACCCCAGGTTGAGAACCACTGCACCTAGGAGAAAACTGTTATATGCAAAATATATTTGCTAAAATAGTATGCAGGCCAAGGTTTTTGAACTATGCAACTATAATTGGGTAGAGCTCATGTTGCTTGATTCTTTTGTCTCTACGCCAGATTTCAGCACATGCGCATAAAGGTTTTTCATTGGCTGTTATACAATTGTCATATTCTGCCTGGAAATTCATCAAATATTGTTTTCATAAGTCAATGTATAGATTGAGGATAACTTATTCAAAACGTTTGGGGCTAGAAGTGTTTTGATTTTGGATTTATTTATTTATTTATGGAAATCTGTATTTACCTACATGTACATAATGAAAAATCTTGGAAATGAGATAGAACTCTAAACACAACATTTATGTATGTTTCATATATACCTCATATGCATAGCATGAAAATAATTTTATATATTTAAACCCACTTTGGCACAGGTTTTAGGGCTGCATAAAGGTGCCCTCAGTCACCCCTGTGGAAAATGCTGCAGTATTTGAATGTTAGAATTCCAGATAAAATATGCTCAACTTACCTCACTATTTAATTTGGAATAAAATAAACATGGCTCTGCCAAGTGATGAGTAGGATAAGGCAAGTGGGTGGGAACACTGATGTGCACTGTATTTTTTACATGTGTTTTCTGAGCTCACAGGCAAGACCAATATACAAACAACGTGTCTTTGAATAAGTACAGGGAACACTCCTAAATGTTCCCAAACATGCATCAGCAAGTCAGACAAGAATGTATTTCCTTTGATTTCAATAAATACAGTTTATATTGATTTTTATCAGGTTGCTTTGTTATAATTATTACATAACACATCATATTTTTGATTAAAGTGTAGTGGAATCAATTGAGTCCATTTAGACGTGAAGCAAATGAAGCAGGCAGACAAGACAAAATGAATTTCAAGGTTCTTTACTGGCTTTACAATTAGGACAAAGGTGGCAGCCCAACTCACATTAGTCCAAAACTGCAGCCCTTAAGCAAGGTATATACGGCCATATTTATACCTTTAACAAACATTTATTGGCAAACGGTCATGCACAGATCAAACTATTTACTGCATTTCTATGCCGCCTTTCTCAGCCCGAAGACGACTCATGACTCTATTTTTCAGCATGTCATCACTTCCTTACCTATATATATGGTTTTAACCTTTACTTAAAACTTGTTTATGGACTTTTCCAGACAACTTCAGATAGCAAATATCAGCAGGTTAGTGGATCACCCAAAGTGCAGTCAGACTATTTATAGGACAGGCTACATATAATCAGGCACCTAGTTCCCTCACTTAGAAAATGGCACTTTTAAGTGACTCAAAAGTACAGGTCAAAGCAATTAAAATTGTTTCTTAATAATCAGCTCCTTAGAATCATAGAATCACAGAGTTGGAAGAAATCTCATGGGCCATCCAGTCCAACCCCTTGCCAAGAAGCAGGAAAATTGCATTCAAAGCATTCCCGACAGATGGCCATCCAGCCTCTGTTTAAAAGCTTCCAAAGAAGGAGCCTCCACCACACTTCGGGCAGAAAGTTCCACTGCTGAACGGCTCTCACAGTCAGGAAGTTCTTCCTCATGTTCAGATGGAATCTCCTCTCTTGTAGTTGGAAGCCATTGTTCCGCGTGCCAGTCTCCAGGGCAGCACAAAACAAGTTCACTCCCTCCTTCCTATGACTTCCTTCAAACGCTATGCATTGTTTCCCACAAACAGAATTTTAAACCTCAAATTTCATCAAATACTGGATTCCTATAAGCTGACATCTTTGGAAATAAGCTGTTAATGAACCAGTTCTTTGGATTCTAACAGATAGACTTCGCTCTCTTTTTTCACTTCAGAGTAATAGTGTTGTGCAATATTTCACTTTATTTCAAAATATCCATGGTTATAATATTTCACTTTACTTTTGCATCCATGATTCTAATGCTACTTGTCTTTAATATGAAATACTTTCCTTCCTTTTTATCTCACACAGAATCAGCTGATCATTATTATTCACAGCTTACCAGCATCTCTGCATGTATAAAGCAGATGGAAGAATCTAATTAAAGATTTGTTTCTAGTAACTGACTGAAAAGGGAGGGCAGAGTACAGATATGCCAGAGATCTTCTCATCTGTGTTTCATTAACACACAATTTCCTGGATGTTTGGATTATGCTTCTAGATCCAGGGAAGTCATACTACCCCTCTATTCTGCCTTGGTCAGACCACACCTGGAATCACACTGTGTCCAATTCTGGGCACTGCAATTGAAGGGAGATGTTGACAAGCTGGAATATGTCCAGAAGAGGGCAACTAAAATGATCAAGGGTCTGGAGAACAAGCCCTATGAGGAACGCCTTAAAGAGCTTGGCATGTTTAGCCTGCAGAAGAGGAGGCTGAGAGGACACATGATGGCCATGTATAAATATGTGAAGGGAAGACATAGGGAGGAGGGAGGAGGTTTGTTTTCTGCTGCCCTGGAGACTAGGACATGGAACAATGGCTTCAACTTCAGGAAAGGAGATTCTACCTGAACATAAGGAAGAACTTCCTAACTCTGTGTGAGAGAGCCATTCAGCAGTGGAACTCTCTTCCCCAGAATGTGGTGGAGGCTCCCTCTTTGGAGGCTTTTAAACAGAGGTTGGATGGCCATCTGTCGGGGGTGCTTTGAATGTGATTTTCCTGCTTCTTGGAAGGGGGTTGAACTGGATGTCCAACAAGGTCTCATCCAACTCTATGATTCATTTCGGGGGGGGGGGGCATTGTTTTTTATTTCTGCTGTGAGAAACATATTCAGGTACAGTCTGTAAATCACAAATCCATACTAAATATATGAACGTGTTATCTCAAGATGTCTCTAACTAAAAAAAAATATATGTCAGATCAGGATATTGTGAGTATATGAGGCATTCACCCTTTTAATAAGGACTCGTATCTTAAAAGTCAGTGATATATGATTTCATAAAATGCGACATTTATTATTAAAAGGTTATATGGGGTGGGGATATCGGCAGCTGCCTCATGTGACACTGGTCCTCGTGCAGCATATTTGGAAACATTAGCCAACTATTTGTACTTCTGAAGCAGTATCTCTAGGTAAATGCTGCCTTTGTGGCCATCAAAGCATAATGAACATTGAATAAACATTGCCATCTCACAGAATGTTTAGCATCTCCATGTTCTACCTATGTGGAAGCCACAAGTCACATAAATACAATCCCACAGGAGGAAGGAGTCTGGCCTACACTCCTGTAGGAGACAAACTATGAGCCTTGGCCTGAAAGTAAACACACTTTTTTCGTGTCAGGAGCGACTTGAGAAACTGCAAGT